TCTATCTATTAATTTTTTATTAATTTTGTTTTGAGGGCTGCTTCAGATTTTTTAAAAAAATGACTCAATAAGAGGAATATAAATATCGCATAAATCTTTTCAATGATTGAATAATTAACTAGGAGCAGCTTTATCTCCTTTACATGGATGAGTACAAGTGACTAGAGGTATAATGAAATAAAACGACTTAAAAGGGCATTCAGGGAGTCACAGACAGAAATAAGATTATAATTCATTTCAATGTTACATCAATACCAAAGAATGAACAGCCAGAAGAGACTGAGTCTAAAATAGTAAATATATTGAGTATGATAAAGGCCTCTATAATTTAACAGATCATTTTAATGTACACAAAACGATTGTGCAGGGAAAAGAAGAGGAAGCGGCAATATTCTTCTAGAACAGAATACACGTTACCTTTCTATTACGTTGCTTTCTCTACTTTAAAAATTGTAAGAGTTGAAACATCCCAGGAAGGAATATGTATCAGAGGGGAGCGCTAAGGAAGACTGTGGTAGGGTCAAAGTCACAGCTGGAGTGAGTTAAGTAACCTTGTCCTTTACTCTCTCTCCTCTAGCACAGAAATAAAATGATGGATGCCCCTACTTAGATTATCATTAAAATACTTTGCTTGCTATTCACGAGGTAACCTTCACTTGTATCAACGATCAATTCTCTACTATCCACAGTGAAAGAAAAGAAGTAGCGTAGATTATTTCAAATATTTTTTTATTTTGAAAAATTTAATTTAAAAACTGATTTGCTTTCCTGATTATGTTTAGTGTCAGTTGATGTCCAGAGGAGGTAGCAAATATTTATCCTCTAGCAGGGGAAAGTTGGACTGGGGTTTTAAAAAAACAAAAAGCCATGGATAATTTTAGAAAGTGAAGAAATCACCTACAGAAAATAGGGTATATAGTTTTCTCAATGAGCATATTTATGAGTGTTTGTGCATGCAAATAGATACAGCATTTTTATTAAAGAAAATGCGATATACAAATATGAGTGTTCTCTAACCAACGTCCTCAAGCTTCTGTTTCAATGTATGTCAAGCGTTCTTTTCTCACAACATAACTTCATCCAAACCACGGTCCTTCAAGCATCAAAATTATATCAGAAAATAATGGAATCTGAATTTACATTACCAGTTTCACCTTCGTTTTAGAGACACATGCCAGGAAGCTTATCTACCTTTAAACTATAATTATTTTCCACAGTTGTCCTCATAACTTCTAAAAATATTTCAAAATCATACAGCATTGAGTTCAAATTAATCTGCCAGTCTAAGACGAAGTAAGGAGTAAAGACTAAAAGCTATTACAAACACATTCAAAAGGTTTTTCATTCTCAAAAAAGAAAAATCACTGTTAATTTCAAGGGTAAATTGATTTTATAAATTGCTTTATTTTTTAAAAATCTGTCTTTAAGGTGGCCTGTAAAAATTGATGCCTCACGCTCCAGAGGTGATGTTGAACAACAGTGTTCTTAATCAGGATATATTTAAGCGCACGATATTGGATATTTTGTTTAATAATACTTTTGATTTAGAAAATTTGCAAGTCTCTTTAGAAATTGAGATATATAAATATTGATATATATGTTAGTAACAATCCTACAATCTAATTTATCCCATATACATATACATACACACACTACCTTTTAAAACACATTAATAATAGATGCAAAAGGAAAGTCACATTAAAACAATGTGAATAATTCAGCAAAATAATTTTCGCTACTTCTGTATCGATTCACCTGAATGAATTCAATTTTCGATGTCAGCTTCCAATCATAACTCATAACTGCGTCTTTGAAAGCAAACCTAAGAGAATTTTAACACCCCTGGAGAACAGTTCATTTTCTTTGAGCGCCCTCTAAATCTTTTCTGAAATTCAAAGGCTACTCCTCCAGAAGTGATTTACGAATGATTCACCTTGCTGACAGGACAAGTAGAATTCCTACTAATTAGAATGTTTTCTTCATATGAAATCAGCTACAGTGAATCAAGAGAACCTTGGCGCCAATTTAGTCTCATTTTCACTTTTGTAGGTTAATGAATTATTAAATTTCTTCAGTAATTTCTTCTGCAATCGCAATAAAATTTTTATTTTAATTCTCTATCCTGAAAGTAAATCAGGAAAAATAGACCATTATTCAATTTTCACTTAAGGAAAAGGAGACCAAAGACTAAGTTTCTGATATGCCTACTTGAAGTTATATCTTACAGTCCCTGGTTCCTGTACCTCCGAAATGCATACAGTTCGTTATCATCAATCAAAGATTGGGGACAGGGAGACAACCAGACTTAATAGGCCTAAGGATGACACTACATAATTAGCTAGTTTTATCAGTGGGCATTTTACTTACAAATTTTCTCAATCAATCATGTTATGATGGATAAAAATGCAGTTCAGCTACATTTTACTTCTAAAGTTTTTCTCCATAAAAGGATGTGGCATCTTCCGTTTTGAATAGTCTTTCTAATTTCCATTCCATTATTGAAAATAAGAGTACTAAGAATTTTGGTAACCACATAACTAGTGGAAGAAAGAAGATAAAGAGACCCATAAATATTCAAACAATTCCTCTTTCTACTTCAAAGAAGAAAGATGTTTTCTGTTTCTTCCTTCATAACAGTACACATTTTAGATCACCCAATAAACAAGTGAGAAGCTAGAATATACAAAAGATAATCCTTTTATTTTCCAGCTATCTTACTGTGAGTCAACTTAATGTTTCAATTCTATGTTACCACTGTCTCTAATAAGTTGTAATTTTCTCACAAACCCAATGTCAAATTTTAAGGATCCTGTATTATAGTTAAGTGAATATAATGAAATATATTCCATAGGACCACTAAGTTATGGAAAGCGTACAAGACATTCAACTCAAAAAAGAAAAAAAAAAAAGAAAAATTCAACTCATTTATAAAATAAATCAATCTTCAATTTGAAGACATGCAAAACAGAGTCACAACCTCTTTAAGGAGCAGATATTTGGAGCGATAGAAAAATAAGCACACATATTTTATACATATTTATATACAGATATGCTACCAAAACATAAAGGATAAGCCAGGTTCTGGGATGCCTCTCACAGTCTAACCCATGTAACCCTATGGCTAGCGGCAGTGCTGACATAACTGATAATTTGACTGAGGAACATCAGGTGTTACCCAATGGTGACAGAAACAGAGAGCCCTTTGCAGAAACTCACAGAATGTACATGGATTAGAATCAAAAGGAACCTCGAAGATTATTGGGTCCATCCCTCTGTCCTTGGCTAAACTAAACCCAGCTCTTTTCAGCAACTGATAAGGTTGAATTTGAAGTCAGTAGCATCAGAAAAAAATCTAATGACTTGGACTGAGAGCATCCTTTCTTTCTAATCTTTGACCCATAACATTATGGACTTCTAAGACAAGTCCATTCCTATTGAAAATGGCAGGGTGTTTCCCAAGGAAGAGAAAAACGGAATGAGAGTGGTCTGGTACGTGTGGATGGAGGTATGTACACATGTGTGAGAATATGCACAGGACATGTGTGCATGAAGTGTGTATGCAGATGTATAGTTTATTTCTCTTGAGACTTAAAAAAAAATTACTGTGGTTGCAGGCTTTGTATTCCTTTGAGAGGATAGCTGAAATGTTTGACATTTCAAAGCCCAGGAAGCATTCTGGAACTGCAAAACGAGCAAAACTCTCCCCGTGAGAGGGCACTAGGGGGCCAAGCGGAGCAGAATCTTCCCTCGCTGTCCATTCAGGACAGCCTTGGTTGTCAACCTTCGCTCTGCCGCCTGCGCTGGGGGCAGGGGCAGCGGAGGACGCTGGGGGCAGGGGCAGCGGAGGACGCCGAGAGCGCGCACAGCAGCTGCAGCAGGATCCTCTCATAAAACAAGGAAACCCAGGATCTGTGGGGCAATGAGCCGCCTTTACGGGTTGACAGTTGTGCTGTGGCTGTGCCCGTGCTGCTTGGCAAACTGGCTTTCGGTTTTGGCTTCGCAAAAAAGGAGCGGAAGGGGGAGCTGTAGTGGTTCCCAGTGCCCGCAGGGCCCCCTCTCCTGGCCGCTGTGTGCTGGCCACAATGGGTGCAGAGTGTGCGCACTCGGGTCTCTCTGTGTCTGTATGTGTAACTGTTTGCATGACTGTCAATCTGTCTGTCTGTGTGACAGAGAAACAAAGATGCTCGCGGAAAGTTCCCTCTGGAAAATAAACCTCGGGAGTTTTCCTTGCTATTTCCCAGGCACCCTGGTCCTCCGTAACTATGATACTGCCATTGTCGCTTCGTTATTTTGTTTCCTCCGGGATGATTTATATCCAGGAGTGAGAAATGCACGTTTATTGAAGTTTTCTGTATGTGACCTTACTTCATGGAAATGAGAAAGTGGCTGGGAAGGAAGGAGAACCTGAAAAACGGTAAATTCCCTCTTCGGATTGTGAAATGAGACAGTTAAGAGCCCAGAAACTGGACTCAGACTGTCCGGATTCAAATCCCGCTCTGCCACTTTCACTAACTGTGTGCCGTGGGCAAAGAGCTTCTACTCGGTGCCTAAGTTGGTTCATTTGCAGGATAGGGATAGTAACAGCGCCTAGCCCATAGGCTTGTGAAGATTAAATATACGTAAAACGCTTAGAACAGTACCTGACACATAATAGTTGCTGTGTGTTAGCTATTAACATCATCCTCGACATCCACTGTGTTAAATGTGGAGAAGGACCATTCCGGCCCTGTCCCCCATCTGTACGCACTAGATCTCCATACATGCCCATCATATCCCCAAGCAAAGATGAAAAAGTACCCTCCCCCGCCCGCTCCACACCCTCCCGCACTCGCAGTCACCCAGCCACCCCCGCCAGTGCAGACGTGCATCTGCGAACCCCTCCCCAGCCGTCCTGCGCGCCACACCTGGGGGCGCACTCGGGGGCAAAGGCAAACGAAGTGTCCGAGAGTGCCGGTCCCTACCTCTCCTGGCTGAGGAGTGCATTGGGGGTATTTTCCTACCTGCCCCAGGTTTTTGCCCTTCTTACTGCCGCCGAAAGCCAGTCCTTGGTATGTGCCCGCAGATCGATTGGCGGCCTGGGCTGGCGTCTCCCCGCCCAGAGAGGACTTGATGGAGTTGAGTTTGGCCCGCGAGCTGCCGAACTGGGAGCCCTCCACCATCAGCACCGCGGCCAGTAGGAGCAGGCAGCGGGAGGAGTCCTTGCCCCGCATCAACGCGGCCATCGCCTGGCGAGGGGTCCCCAGGAAGGGGCAAAGCCCGCAAGGGTGCGGGTACAGAGGGAGGGAGGACCCCCAACACGGGGCCCTACGCGCAGGGCGCCGGGACTCGCAGACTCTGTTTCCCCCAACCCCACTTGGCTTTGGGGGCCCAGCACCGTGTGAACTCAGTCTCACGCCTCAGACCGGGAGGGAGCGCGACCCAAGCAAGACCTGCTTCTCCGCCAGGGCAGGAAGTTCTGCAGTAACTGGAAGCAATCAAAGGCGAGGCGCCTTCTTGCCAAGGAGGCGTGACCCGAGGTGCAAGAAGCCCGAGCGCCACGGCCCGCACCGCTTCCGTTGCTCCTTGCCCCGCACCTCCGAGGTCCCGCCCGGTTCTCCGCGGTCCAGTCCTCCTCCCAGCTGCTCAGGAGGTTCACATTAGTTCCTTCTCCTTCGGCCTCAGTTGCGTTTTCTCTCCTCTTTTCCTTCCCTACCCCTTATGTCTCAACCTTTGCAGGACATAAGTCCTCCTTTTCAAAGTTAGCGGGCACTATATGGGGGATCAGGAACCGCCCCCGGACAAGACCCTTGAGGTCTGAGGCCAACCAAGGTCCCGCACGCGCGCACGCACAGACGCCCCGAAGCGTTGTTCTCCGGCTCACAGCCCTGCAACAGCCAAGCGCTGCCAGGGACGCCGCGATGCCCTGGGAACTGTCTTGCGCTCCACGCGGTCTCCCTCTCTGCGTCTGCTCTCTCATCGCCGCCCCCTTTGCTTTTTATAGCTTCCCACAATGGGTTTTTTTTTTCCTCCGCCCCCAATTCAATAGTGACAAAGAGTGAAAACGTATCTATCACCCCCCACGTTCCCGCCCCCCTCTTCGATTTTCCCTGCGGCTTCCCCGCCTGATTCTCCCTCGCCCCCTCCCACTGCCCTTCCACCGGACAGCAGTTGAGGAAATGGGATTCACCCCCAGAGGAACAGGCGGGGGTTCTGATTATTCCTGACAACCAGCCACTCCCGAGGATGGAAGAACCTTTGCAAACAAACGGATGGCAAATGTGGAAGTGGAGAGGGGCGAGCTGCCACCTCGCCTCGGGACCGCCAGCACCCCTCCCCAACCCACCTCCAGTCCCTGACTCCTGGAGGAGCATTGGGAAAGCCCTACAGAAGACTGAAAGAAGTGAGCATCTGGGCATTAATGGTCTGTGTATGCTCAAGTTGGGTTTTAGCCTGTGCCTCCCAGTGGATGTGTGAGACTGGTACTGTATTGGTGCGCCAGGGAGTGCCCAACCGATCCAAATGGGACTTTGGGAAGAAGAGTACCGGAGAAGGGGGAAAGATGCTCCTATTCTCCCTCTGAGAGGCGTTTAGGACTTTCTGGTCTGCTCCTCTTCACCCTCCAGTCCCCCTCCCCACCACACAAGCAGCGTTTGTCTACGTCTCTGAGGAGCTGGGAGCAATGGGGGTCCCCTGAGTACCTTCTGAGCTTTGAACCTCACAGCTCTACCGGGCATCTTTACTGTCCCAGGCAACTCCCCCCTTTGCAAAGAGGAAATCCCAGACAGGAATGAACGGGGCGGCAAGGGAGTCTTGGAGGTTCTGCTTTCTGCCCCTTAGCCTCTGGGAATTACATGCGAAGCCTTTCCTGCGAGACCCGAGGCTCCCAGGGTCCGGTTCGCTTCTGTGGGAAAGAGGCTCAGAGAAGGGCTGGAGCGCGCGGGTGTGCGGCGCTTGGGGGCGCCAGTGGCAACCGCTGGGCAAGGCGACGAAGCCTTGCCGGAGACAAGAGATGAGGGCTGTCCCAGGCAATCTCTGGGACTGGAGATGTTCAGCGGCAGTAGAAAGCCAAGGCTTCCAAAGCAACCCAAGCGCTTAGGAATTTGTTGCATTTCTCCTTCTCTCGTGCGCTAACATCTGTGCACAGAGAAATCGAGGCTGTGCAGTACAACTTGATGGCTAACAGCTAGGGGAGGAGGCTGTTCTTTCTAAACACACTCTAGAATCTTCAGACGTGAGTTCCTCAGCTTTCACACCTGATCCTGGCACACACCAGCACGGACAGTGCGGTATACCGTCAACAGTTGCTAGGGAGTGACTCCTTTCTTTTCCACCAAAAGGGCTGAGGTAGGTCTAAAGTGTGAATTTGTAGCTGGGTTCCCGCAGGCTGCACCAGCTTTGCATATTTCTCTGCCCTGTTCTGTCTGTCTGCCAGGAATTCTTCATTTTCTGAATGACTTTTTTCTATTTGAATGCACAAGCAAGAGGTGATTAGAACTTGAGGAACCCTCAGGCATGTTTTCTTATCTTTGGATTCCCTTGTGCTTCCGCAGGGTAGAGATTTTCACGTTAAAAAAAATTTTTTTTTTCACTTTTTAAAAATATGCCCAGGAATGGATTTGTAAGGATTTGTAAGCATTCCAGGCACTAGTGGAGGGCAAGGAAACTAACTTACACTCTACAGATAAGTACTTGGGATTCAATGCTTAGACTTTACACAAAGGTGTATCTTTTGCCTTCATTGTGATTTGCCAAACAGAAAACATGAGAGAAATGGAGAAAATTAAGTTAGGAGCCTACTGGTTTGGATATTTTTCAAGAGTATTTTAGAGCAAAAGGAAAAGAGAGCTAAATATGTAAGCAAGAAATCACTCTACCTCCACTTGAAGAGTGTGGGAATCTACCAGCTGCTGAAGAACCAACTCCAATGAATCAACAGAAAATCTGAAGATACTTTGCCTGTTTCTGTTGGTTCCCTCTTTCTTTACCACCAACCAAAATAAGATACCATATAGTCAGAACCCAACTCCTGTCATATGCTAAAAAGAAATAGTGTACAATTGAGCATATGTACTCTCAAGAAACCCTTCAGCTCTAGATGCCAGGATAAAGAGATTATCTCAGAGGTTTACAAAGGACCCTACAAGTTCCAAAAGCAAACTTTACAAATACAGTTAAAAATCAAAGTTCACATGAAAGTTACTTTCACAAACATTGTCCCTTTTCTATAAAACAAAATCACGCTATGGAATCAAATGCTAAAACATACACAACTACACCTTAGGCTAAAAAGGAAATAAAAACTAATTTTACTCATGGTCCAAATGCTCTCTGTAACATTGTATAGAAGACAGAAACAGACACACATAACCCATATGCGGACAAGTAGGTATGCATGCACAAAATCAACTAACTGCAAGTAAACATAATCCTTTGGATTACTGTTTTAATCCCACATGTGTTTTCTCATGTGTGTTTTCATAAGTATGAAGATACAAGCTTCATATTCTACTTGGAAAAATAGATCTTTTATGCCTTTTGTATAACATCATTAGGGAGTAAATAAATACTGTACAGAAGTAAAGATAGGGTCCTCTTGTCCAGAAGAAAGTGCCTCTGTGGACACTTTCTCCTTTGGCCATCATTTCCCACTTCTCTTTGCTCCTCAGCTGTGGGGTGATTTCGGTTCCATAGAAAAACCACAACTGACTCAGCAGTTTCTTCTGGGTCCTGGTTTCCTTCTGAATACTTAGGGCCAAGGTAAGCTAAGTGTACACCTCATTGCCTTATTCTTGTTTTTCATCGTATTTTCCCTCTCCCTGCATTAGTAACCACTTCCCACAATAGTCTATTTATCAGTTGTTCATTTATTCACTGTATATTTATTAAATTTAGGGCCTTGAGGATACAAACGTGAGTAAGTCAGGGCCTTGGCCGTGGAGAGTCTTATGGTCCACTGTGAAGGCCCTGACTTACTGAAATCTGCCTCTACCCTTCTCAGGAGCTGCTGCCATTAGCCTTCCTCTGTTCTCATCCACCACTGAATTTTGCCAACCTCAGTCTCTCACAGGGTATCTGGAGCTTCCAAGCTGGATTGAATTCATATGACTATGGGAATAAAAATATTAGGAATGTCCCCCAGAGTCCTTCCTTTTCTCATAAGTTACATGTACGTTTTAGCAGCACACAGGGAGACAATATTCCCACATTTGTGGTTAAATGCAGAGAAATGACACTAGATGTGGTCATTTGGGTTATTTTAGATAAGTAAGAAGTACGGTACTCTGGCAAACTTGGGAAGGGACGTTCATTTTTAGTAGGTCCCATAGGCCCATGAATCTTCTTGTTCACACAAGATGGACATGAAACATCTCCATCATTTTTTGGTTTTAAAGGATTTGGAATATATGGTTTTGTGTGTTTCCTCTCTCCATGGTAAACCAGCCTACCTGGTCTTCTATTCTAGTAGGATTCACACTTTGGATCTTATCACATGAGAATTTTATGTTTCTCACTGTCTAAGGAAAAACAGTACCATGTGTTAGCATCAATTACATTTTAAATAATTTGTGATAAATTAATATTAGCAATGGTATTGTGAACATTTTTAGTGTCTCTTGATAGGACTAATTTACATACCAGATATGAAAAATTGCATCTCCTATTCTATTCCTGCCATAGTTTCACCTGTTAACTCTCTTCCAACTTGATCTCCTGGACAACAGGTCCAGTGAATGAGAAAAGACCTCGTCACTCACATTTGAGGCACTAGCTGTGCTTGACCCAAACGTGCACAAGTGAAGTGGTTCAAGGTTATTTCAGAGTAAATCAATCAGAAACATAATTTCTTAGCCAGTGGCTTGATTTTTGATCCTTGACACATCAGTCATCTTCTCAATACTTTACCTGCCGCCCAAATGATAGAAACTTACTAAACAAATCCCTCCCTTAGAGACTGAACCCAACTAATAAAAAGCATGTAAATGATACAGTCAGAAACTCAGGTAGACAAACTTCTGTTCATTCTTGTGCATATGGGTGACCTTAGGTAGAACTGAAATTAGAAATTATCTCCAAACGTTTAACACCAAACCTTTCCCTTTATGATGCACAGTTTCTGCTTCTTCTATACACTGCATATCCTTCTTGGTGGTCCATATACCCCTACTGCTGAGCTCTGGCAGGCTGTTCCAAGATTCATTATTGGAAAGAGTACTATACTTGGTGGTGTGGAAAATATGTTTAATTCTTGAGAGAGACTCATTGCAAGAAATCTCATCTTGAACAACAAAACACACAACTTTTAGATAATGTAGACCAGTAGTTTCCAAATTCTTTTCCTTAGATCTCCAGGGTTCTGTAGGAGTCTGACAAGGAAGTTAGAACTGCTGTTATTTTTAACAGGACCTCATGGGAGAGGGCTCCTGCAACATGAATTTTTAAGCGTCTATCTTGTTACTGTTTTTTATTTAGGGGAGGGTTGTGTTGGTTGGTTTTTTGGCTTTAATCAACCACACAGATTTGGATGCAACAATGAGTTGGGCAAAATATTCTATGAGTACTCAACCTGCCAACAAGATGGATTGATTTCTATCCTGCTATTATCGCAGATTATTGCCAAAATAAACATTACTCAAATGGGGAAACTATTGAAAATCTGACAATTTTTCTAGTCAGATATTGTCATTTGAAGTAAGGCATATTAAAAAATGGAAGGGCAGGGTATTTAATCCAGTCATGGTAAAATGTGTTTGTTCCTGGTCAGTTATCTGAAACTATGAGTAGTAAACATAGAAAAACTTCAACTATAAAACAAATTATGGCACAGATTGAAAAATAATGGGAAAACTATTGGCACAAACTAAGGAAATATGTTCCTAAGTGGCAATTTTAAATCTGTGTTTGAAGCATAACCGTGCTTGGTAACAGGGAATGTAAATTGTGTTTAGTTTATCTTCA